TAATAATTATTTGTTCAAAGCTTATTGTTTTTTTTTATTATTATTTTAAAAAGTATGCACCCCTGTACGAAAGATTGCACCGCCATCTACGACAGAACCTCCAAGCTGGTCGAGAAACAGTTTACTGTTTCCGAAGCTAAATGGCGCCCCAAGCAGCTGTGATCGAAAAATATGTATGCAAGTACATATTTTCAATTACATATTGTTATTTAACTCGTATCAACTTTTCAACTTGATTTTTGCGATTGAATCGTCGACTAAGATATGAACTTAAAATACCACCTATAAGACATTTCCACGTTCCTAACAGTATTAGTTCAAATATTAAATCTAGCTTTTAGACTATTGTACTTTTGCCACTGCAGACCTTGTAACTAGATATATGGTCATGGTTACTAACATCTAACCCAAACCTAACCAAGACTGCGAAGAATAACAACTGAATGATTGTTATGTAATTCAGCTGCTTCGTAATTGCTGAACACTACCCTAGAAAGTAAACGCGAAAAAGTAATCGCAACGCTAATAACAATCGCGATCAAATTTATATTATGATATTTACAACGCGAGTAATATTTTTAATTCGCAACGCTACTACAAACCGTGATTAAAGTTTACACGCAACTCTATCCTGGAAAAGCAAACGCGAAAAATTCCCACATATCGTTCGCAACTCTAACATTAATCATGACATTGATTTATATCAGTCGCAACACTATCCTAGAAGCAAACGCGATCGTTCACATTTCGCAACACTAATGCAAACCGCGATTTCTCCAAAAAAGCTGATCGTTGTGGTACAAATGTACAATGTGGAAAAAACTACTAATTACTACAACAAATAATACTACTACTACTACTACATAGAACTACAGACGAATACAGTGACAATAAATAATGATTCTCCATCCTCATCCGAAGATGAAGATGAAGAAGCATTCGTTGCAGCCCACTCTTGCGACAGTTTGTCAGGGCCTCTTCGACTCTATCTCGAGTCTATTCTTTCTTCGGCGGTCCTGCCAAAGCCTGAAACTTAAAACTACGCTCGAGATTCCGTGCGACACACGGTCCTCAAACAATGCAACGAATCGTTGTCGGAACAAGTGTGAAGAAACTCGAGCGGGACGAACGTTTCGAGGGGGGGGCTAACCACGACCGCGTACGCGAACAGCGACTTTGAAGTCGCAGCGATATCAAGAATGGAAAGTAACAGCAAAACAAACGGTGCAAACCGTTTCGATCGGCTAACTTTTCCATTCTCGAAATCCAACTACAGGTAACAGGACTGCCACGCGAAAACGTGCCTACCCGAATTACTAATGTGGACAGCCCTGCCCTGACCCTACCTACTTACATCTAACTCAAGCACACCCAAAGTTAAGTGACCTACCTACCTAAACCTATATTTAAAAAATAGCAAAACACATTCTCGCGAAAACAAACACTCCACGGTTCTCATGCATAATGTTCGGGCGCGGTCTAAACTAGGGAGGACGCCCCGGGGTTCCTCCGACACCCGAACATCGCAAACATTCGCACTCTCTAAGGTACGTACCATTTCCTGAAATCGACTGACAAAAACTACCGACCATTGCGTGTTTTTAATAAAATATACTTTACTTATGTATGATTATCGAAAATCGACAAGCTGATTCATTAAGTATTTTATAATATTATTCTTGTATATGCAACATGAACAATTGTCAAATAAATAATAACTACAATTTCAATATCATTATTATGGTTTATAGAAATCTAGTGTTAACAAATTCTGTTTATGAATTTTAATAAACTTTTGAAACGACGCACTTCCACAGCCTAACCACACACTCACACACACATGTGGAAAGTGCATCGTGCACGATACACTAGCATTGTCAGCCGCACACATATAGATTATTATTATAAATTGTTATCTAAGTAAACCATCGTGCCCATTACCTTTACTCAGCCAAGTAGCACCTGAGCACGTGGATGAGTTCAGGCAACAAACACGGAAAATTATGCTGAAAATCCTCAATTCGAAAGACCGATTAGTAAATAATAACGAGATAATATAATAAATGGACTTTTTATTTGCAATAAATGAAGAGCAAAAATTTGGTATTAATATTAATATTAAAAAATGTTAGCATTACGGAAAATTTCTATGATAAAAATTTAATTATTTAGAGGAAAAGACTTTAAGACAAAATAAATTACTTTGAAAATTTAAGATAATTATTTGAAGTAAATTTGCTGGATTATTAATTAAAATATTCAACTACCCTTGGGTTGATTTCGTTGTCAGAGTGATTTATTTAAAAAATGAGTATAATAAACAGTGCATGTTGCTTCAACTTGGAAATTTACCCACCGCGAAATGCCTTCCTGTTCATGAAATACAACATCGTATTTTTAAACGACTAACAAAAGACTGTAGTATCCTCGATAGACAGTCATCAAATTATATTTTAATATCAAGTAAGAAAAATCTAAAAAATGATAAATATACAATACTTGTCATATCATCGTTGTATAGTAAATGTAATAAATAGTAAAAACATATAATTTCATTATATGCAGCATTTATCATATTAATAGACGCGGGATACAGGAAGGCCCTAGCCTGATCTAAATAATAAAAAAGTACAAGTCACTGTATTCGTCAAAGATAGCACGTATACAACTGGTCACACGCGTCGATTCGGACCTTTTTGTCCTACGACGTGATTAGGGACCAGAGGAATAAAAATTGTCATGCAACTCACCAATTGTAGAATACAACCACCCGCACGACGAGGTTGGCTAGGTAGGAGTCATCAGCGAAGTCATCAGCGAAGTCGGCAACGAAGTCGGCATCAATGTCACCAGCGAAATCATCGACGAGGTTCCCTGGATCCACAATCCTGTAGAAAGAAAGAGTAAATGATTTAACGAAAAGGTTTCTACCGTATTTGAAAACTTGATGTAGGAAAATTTGAATGAAACAATTTCTTTTAAGCGTACTCGGAACAAAATGCGAAGGATACTTACATTTTTCGCACGTGGGCATCGCCAAATATGTACTCCTTTTCCCATAGATACAGATTTCCTGTCGAAACGTCTACAAACTCTCAAAGCATTATGGCGTCGTGTTTATTGCGTGACCGTAGTTTGACCGTAGTTGAGCGCCCCCCTTGTGTTTCAATTGTAATTACGGGCTCTAACAGAAATAAAACACAAATTTGTTAACAGACACTTGTTAATACTGTAGGAATGCATCGATGGAGAATGACGAAGAGAATAGAAACGGTTAAAACTAAAAAATGCGTACCATAATTAGATGCGAAACTGTCAACGCACTTATCACACCACTTTCCACACGAAGAATGACGAACAGGATCGGACACGTCTCCCGCGCGAGGAGTGGGGAGTGGGGTGAGGGAGTCACGTACGCCGTCTCGATTCTCGATGTGTCTTCGAAGGAAAAGTTAAACCTTATTATCTCGAATAACTGAAAATAAGTCAAGTAAATACAGAAAAGAAATAGAATAAAGACAAAAAGATACCAGACAAATAATTAATTACTTAATCATTTATTATCGTTATATTCTTGTGACGTCATAATGCAAGCCTCTCATTGGCTCTGCTTGAACATCAAATATCGATCTGTCGTGCGATACACGACTAACTAGATCGATTGTCATATCTACTTAATAATGTGTCAATGTATTGATTTTTAATCGAGATTTTAATCAACGCTTTTAATATAAAGTTTTGTGAATGCAACAACAACGGACAAAAAAATATGCATGGAATACACAAAAACGTTAATTTGTTAGGATGTTTGTACATTTAAATCGTATGACACTGATTCCTACTAAATACCGTTCTGGTCTATTACACCTCTGTACCTGTTTCTTATGTATGTATTCTACAGTATTTATTCAACGTAATTTTATTCTTACCGTTGATAGCATTCGTAAGCCAGAGGCCAGTAATCTGATACGCTTTTTGTGTTTTCAAGCCTGTGTTTGTATTCTCGACCGCCGGCCTCTCGACTTCACCTTGAATCTGAGCTCACGAATTCTTTGACCGCGTGTCACGAAAACCTATTGCTTTACACGTCTACACTATGCATCGACTGTGCCCTTAACCCCTTCCCGTGGCATTTAGCTCGCGGTAAACAGACCAGACTGATGATAAACTGCTTTGTAACAGAGATTAGAAGGATAATGACCGACTCTTGTGACGAAACGTGAGACTAGAATCAGAGTTTCTTACGCAATTTTAAATTATTTCCAGAGCATCGTTGCTCTTTGCTTTCGAAATCGCGACAGTAGTGACATTTGTTATTAAAATCAGTGCATCTATGAAGAGGAGTTTAGAGCGATACTCCACGAGCGAATCACGTACCTAAGAGTATTGCTCAGTTTTAAATATACATACAATTTTAACAATAGATTATGATTGTTTTCTTATTTTTTACAATTTCTAGATCTCGTTGCTACATCCTGGAAACCGGCAGGACCATGCAGATGATTTCATTGATGAGTTCCACTGAGCAGCAGTATCGTCATGAAGTCATCCCAAAGGTATGTAAGTACGTACATAGGTACTTACCTACATCTCATGAGGTTCCATCATTGGTGAGTCGCATGTTATTTTTTAATTCACAGGTTCCAATATACTATACATATATAAATAATTATTCATTATTAGGGTTCATTATGTATAGTGACCTTTCCAACCGCAATATTTATTTATAAATAGTGGATTTTGTTATAAATATTCGGAATTGTTTGCATAGATCAAACTTTGTTCGCGTTCAATGTTCTTGTCCAAGTTACATTTATCGAGTAATAAGTAATTATGTATACGGAAAATGCACGTAATTAGCGATTATTATTCGTTAAAATATGATTGTTGAAAGCCGTTGGAATTGCATCCGTTTGTTCGAAATGCTCAATTCGGACAACTTCGGAGAATCGAGAAAGAGGTCGAGTCTCAGTTTGTCTTTATTTTACTACCTTCTCTAAATTTTAACTATCATAAGATATGTTAGAAAAAACGTCTGCCACGGATAATAATCAATTATCCAAAGAAGATTACTTAGTTATGCGTGCGAAAGACGCGCTCCCAATGGATATTTATGCTGCCAAATCATGGTTAATTACAGCAAAATCGTTGTTTCCTCATAGCGCAAAAGTTCAGGTTAGGAAACTATTTACATGTTATTCGGATTACTTTTTGTGAAATGAAATTATCGATAGTATTTTAAAACGCATTCAGCGATAAACACTTCTGTATTAATGAAATATAATAAATTGTATTATTTATTTCTTAGTTTGAAGCATATCAAATCGAAAAGCTTTCAAAAAATGTGAAGGAAGCGGCAAAATGTTTTAGCGAAATGTGAGTTGTTAAATGATTCGGTAGGGGGAAAAAAGAAATTTCTACATACATTTAAACGATCGTATAAATGTATGCATAGATTTCAGAATTTTCCAGACGATCGAGATATATGGAAAGAAATAGAAACGGTGACTGCATGTCTTCGTTTAGAACAATGTGATCCCGAAGCAGAATTTCTATGTCAAATGTTCCAACACATACCGCAAGAACTACAACACAGATTACTCGTTATGACCGCTGATCATAGCGAAGATACAATGGAGCATTGTAAATTATTACTTCTACTGTTACGCAGATTTCCTCAGACTATCGCCACTCATGGAGTAAATATCTGCGTTTTTAGTTTGAAATATTCGTATTAGTTTATTTCACTTCTTAGTTTGTTAAATTTTCAGCCGCGTTTGGTAGAAACTCTTCTCACTGCAGAAAAACACAGTCATCCTGGACGTGCTGTTAATGGATTTAGAAGATTATTAGCTTGCGACGCGTTGCCGCTCCTAGGCACTGCACCGGTAGAACTGAATCCACGACTTAGTCTAAGATTGCTGTGTAAGGCGGTAGAATTTTATTTGGCATATATACAGCAGCCGCAAGACAATCAAATTCAACATCCGTGGGATAGATTGTTTCAAGTTGTAGAATTAATTGGGAAAAAGTTAGGGTGGGAATTGAGTAGTTTGTTTTCCTTGGTATGGAACAGAGATGTCTACTGTGAAAGGCTGCATCAATACGCGATCGCGCATGCTGCAAATTTATGCGAAGAAGTAGTAGTTAGACAATTATTAATGTGTACTGTTGTGGTATTACTACGAATATTGAACGAACACTCTGCACTTATTAATAACGGTGAAAGTATGTACTGTTTGGTAGAAGCATTCGGAGAATGTGCACATTCGTCCGCAGGTAAGGGATAGCTCGTCGCAACTATTCAATTCACATCGCTTTTCTATTTATGTCTACGTTTTATTCGTTTCGGCTGTAAACAGAACCGAAATTGAAAAAGCGCAAAAGAGACGATAATGGAGGAATTGCGGTAACAAGCGACGGTGACTACAGTGGTAGTGGTCTGGCATCAGCTGTGAAATTGTGGGACCTGTTACACAGTAATGATTATTTGCAGAGGGAAATAGGGAAACTAAATCAGCAGCTTCGATTAGACACTTGGTTAAACTCATTTTTAACAGATTTAGCTATGTATAAAGGATTACATCATGAAGTCCTGGCAAGATTGTCGCAGGAAGCAGGTAGTTTATCTGCTCATCTTCGTTTAGCAAGTACATGTTTTTTCTTAAAAGATTATAAGGTATACTATCTTATTTCTATGTTATATTCTACTTCTATATTCATTCTCCAAGAATATTTCTAAGTGCGTGATATTATTCAAGGGTATGTTAGAGTACATAGTCTTAGTAGTTAGCGCGCTACCCTCAGCGGGTGGCAAAGTGTCGCATAATTTGACAGTTCCTTGTGCGAGACATTTACACTATTTGACAATTGCTCGTTTTCCCGTGGTACAATATTGTTGCAGATTACTTCTTTCAGCTATAAAGGTAATTAATATGGAGTGAGATGTAGAATCCGTTTTAGTTATTCTATATTCCATAGTTATTTCCTCAGGAGAACTTTTCTTTGCCCGGTGGTGTTGGAGACTTGGCCATAGGTCATGCATTGGTGTTAATGCAAATCGACTGGCCGCAAGAAGCTACTACCTTGTCCACGATCACGGAAAGAATTATCAATCGTGGATCTTTCACTTATCCGTTGTTTCAAGCTTACATTATATGCGTGGATATTCTAGAGGAATTGACGTATTTGTGGACGGAACATGGCGGCGGAGTATCCTTGGACATAGCCACTGCATCGGGAGTTTTACAAAGTACATTAGTTTTTTCATACATATCTGTATCTAGTTTCCGTTATATCGATGTGGAAATATTACAGTTCGACGTATTACTACTCGCGGAGCTGACAAAGGAGTGCGAGAAGAAGTGAAACAAGCGATGCGCCGGCAAGCAGCTAGAGACGGAATAGATCCCTTGGACGAATTATTGCAAAAGTTTATTATCAATGAAAAAGCCGTTATTTTACACAGTTTGATCATCCAATAAAATGTATGACTGTTTCTTTTTTTTTTTTTTTTATTCAAAAATGTACACACAATTTGTTTGAAGCCACGTTTAATATTTTATATATACAATGCATCGGTTAAAAGAAAAATTCGATTAACAATCTTTATGGGAACGCTTCAGATGCTCTTTGCTCCGATATTTCCTCCTACTTTTTACATGCTACTTACACAATGAGCTCTTTAGTTACACAGAAGTATTTTTAATAATATAAATCTATCCAACTTCGATAAGCCATGGTCAGATACAGACATACAAAACAACTTTACGTTGTTTATGGTACAATTATGCGACCAAGTTCGTACATAGTTATTATTTCTTTTTTTTATCCATGCCTCGAATGTTACGGAGAGTGAATACAACATAAATATCTCATCGAACGACGGTTATAAAAATCTTGAATTATAAAAAAGAATAAACTGAATAAACATTCTAGATATCGTATGTTGCATTCTATCTAATATAGACATTCAATTGAAGGGCACTCAGCAATAATACTTTAATCCCAGGCATAAAAGAAGATATTTGACTAAAATCTGGGCCTGACACTAATTGGGTATGAAGATCTAAGCCCCCGGTATAATTTCCACTTTGTATCAGCTGTGATATTTGATGCAATCCTTGCAAAGTGTTTTGCGACAACTATAACAATATGCGTAAATATGTTTAATGTCTTTTAAAACTGATCATTTTATAATGTAAAAAAAAGAATACATACTTTATTTTCTCTAAGGCAATCGTATAAAACTTCGAGTTTCTTGGACACATCTTCTACTTTCCTTTTGATTTGCTGGAAAAATGACAAGTACAATCGATGATAGTAATTACAATGTGACACGGCATTTTACATTTATACGTTATAAAATCATCTTACTGGATTTTTAGCATTTTCGTGGCATTGGTCCTTTAATTCGTCAAATACTGTTTTTAAGTGTATATGTTGTTCTGGTATTGGTGGTTTCGGTTTCTCAGGTTCCGCTGCTCGTGCAAATACCGTTGGTTGCAAAGGCTCTACTGGTTTAGCAAACTGTGTTCCCATATACGAAATGTTCTGATTATACTGTTGTGGATTGTAAGGTGCCTGTGTATCGACATACAATTTTTCTTGAGGTAGAACCTAATAGGAGACAGAAAAATAAAAGATAACGTTTCAATGCTCGTTATAATATTTAAACGGTAATACTTACATTTGGTTCGGGCTGCGGTACAGCGCCTCTCAATGGATGTAAAATTGGATTTTGTGGCTGGTACTCCTGTTTCGGCTGCAAAAAAATAAAATAAATTAAACCCATCGTACTTGTTCATGTCTTTATTAAACAATTTCAACGACAAAAGTAACAATGTGTATATGTATACTCTAAAATGTAATATTTAACGGCATCAATATATTTTATTGAAGCGGTTGAAAATGTCTTGTGTATTTCACACCGTGGTATTAGTTCATTTAATATCACACGAAATTGAAATTGTTATTTGCGACCGATTAAATTGAATGTTTAAATATCATAACGTAAAAGAAAAAAGAAAATATATTCTGTTAGAAATAAACTGCAATTACAAAATAGTTGAAACAGCACTCGATCTCTGACAATTGTCTACCTTTATGTTCACATTCTTCGAATGTTTTGCTTTCCATTTCCTGGTACCAGCATGATCCGCAGACATTTCATAATTCGTATATAATGCCAGTACTGGCTATATTATTCGAATATACACATCATCTTATTGTACATATGTATAATACAACATATACTAATATGGAAAATATTTGGAAATATTTACTTGTATTCTAGTCTTGGCGGCCGGTGGGTCATTCCATCCTGCAGGTTGTGATGGTGGTTGATAGACGTTCTCGTTTCCGTAAACTTGAGTTTGTGAAACAGGTTGTGTTCTAATTGGATCATACATCTGATTTTGCGGTGAATTCTGTAATGGCGATAATACATTAGATTGAACTGGTTTAAATGATTCCAGTTCTTTCAAGTTGCTTGTGAAATTCTGTCCAGGATATGTGTTTGCCGGCTGAGGAATCTGTGATTGATACGTATTTGAGGACGAGTAGCCTGTCAGTGAAGAAATTTGTTGAGGAAATCCAGGCTGATTATATGTTGCAGTAGATTTCACAGATGGATCTATTAGGTATTTCGATCTTGTTTGAGGCCCAACGCTAGATGGTCGTGATCCGATCCCACTTGATCCAGTTGTAGGAGGCGGTGGAGGAGGCGGTTGAGAAACGGCCGGTGAAGTGTAACAATGGGACGTTTGATACTGATCGTATTGCATAGCAGGTTGTACGTGTGGTTGAAGAGGGGATAATCCAAAAGGCTGTTGCGGTTGTTGGGTATTAAATTGATTTATAGGCGGTAGAAAGGATTGTTTCATAGGAGCAACATTTGAATCGATGAAAGGTCTCGGTTGTTCCCTTGGAATAAGTAACGGATTTTGTACAGTTTGTAAAGGTCTTCTTGATTGATCGTAATAATTTTGCATTGCCGGCGCGTTTGCCACGCTTTTTGGTTCTTCGATATAACCTAAGGCTCTGCACAAGCGATCCCTCAACATCACAATATTTTCGTCTTCACTGTTCCCGAGATAATTCAATGCGGCATCAAGGTCTCCCTCTGACGCTAACATTTCTGCATACCGAGATAAAACGTTAGCAATTTTTCCTTCGATCCGCGTTTCCCTAATGCCTTGCACTTCCAAAGCTTTCTGCATTATCATTACCAATTCGACTATTTCTTGAATATCAACGTTAGAGGATTCGACCATTTTGTTCAAATTACCCGAACAAATGTAACAAATTTGAGCTTGTTCCTTATGAATTGGATTATCAGATAACGCTAGACGATCTCCAAGCATATCTGTTGTATTCAAAGAAATAAAATATTTATGAATCGTGTATTTTTCATATGTATGTATGTATATGCGATAAAATATAATAATTAAATTCATACCGCACAAAGTAGATCGCTCCTGTGGATTAGAATGGGTAAATATTCCAATTAATACTTCTTTCCAGCAATTTATATCGGTATTCGTAACAACTTCAGCCCAGTTTTCGCTAACTAATGAATTGATAAGAGTATTGAGAGCTCCAGAGTGTTCCGAAAAGTACCTGTACTGGGTACGCGCCAGTAAATCAGGTCCAGCAGCCATTGAAAGAATTACCGCATCTGCGTACCTTTTATTCACAAAGCACAAAGATACAGCAGCTTCGATGTTTCCTAAGAGGATAGCTTGAGTAATAAGCCCATCCTCATCTATAACACATTAAATCGAGATATCGATACTTGACCGGTCATAATCTAGTCAATTTTCAAATGTATATTACGTAATTACCATCGGACACATTTATTTGAAAATTATTATTTATCGACGTAATGGCGGATGTCTTTTTGATTTGTTCTTGTGCAATGGCATCAAATGCCGCACTCCCATCTATAACGTTCCCATTCAGTACCTACAGGAATTATACTTTACGATATGGAAAACATTTTATTGTTTACTGAAAATGGATAAAACTTACATTATTCAAATTACCAACACCTTCTGTAATGTTGTTAATATCTTCTTGAGGAACTAACTGATTCAATTTGTTATTCATTGTTTCTATATTGTACCCCAATAATTCTAGTATTTCCTTTGTTAAATTTTCACCGAAATATACACTCATACAATTCCATATCTTCTTTCTATGTACGTCAGTTGTTTTCTCAGCCTTTCCTTTACAGTAATCGCTATATTGTTCAGTTTTAAGAACTTGTTCCAATTCCTTGGAACGTTGAATTAAATCTGGTTGCGTGATTACTTGAGATATAATAACTTTTCTGTTTGAATTTGCAGGTAGATTTGTATCTACAGGTTCGTTTTCAAATATTGTCAATTTACCACCAAACTAAAACAATTTTTCTGTTTTTACACAACGAGTCATCAATTTAACGTTGCGCCTGTAATTATACTAATAATGCAGAAATTATTGTCCTCGCCAAAACCGAATACTTACACCAAAAGAAGCCCCGAATGGTCTTTTTAGCCATTTAGGAGCTTTTGTCAATACGACTGTTGGTTCCGATTGCATTAGAGAAGGTGGTTGAGTAAAGGGATCCATTCCAGGAAAAGAGTCTACAATTTTGTTTGACGTTTCTACAGACATTTGTTGCTGTCCACCCAATAATGAATAAATCACAGCATGTCCATCGAAACTAGTCCCTACGACTAATCCTGGATGCCTCGGGCACCACGAAACGTCAAAATTCCATTGATTCGTTTGCGCTAACTCGCAAATTACTTCACCGTTCTGTGATATGAAAAGAAAAAGAATTCATTTTAAATGTCAGTTATACAAATTTGTTCATAAATATTTTTAATATTGGAATGTTATTAATAATCATACAGGCGCATCAGAATTCGGATTCCAACATAATATTCTGTTATCTTTAGCACAGCTTAAGAGTAGATCTGGATCGCACGGATTCCAAGCAATCGATAAAACTCCACGCTGATGGTTTTGAAACATTTTTAACGGCGATGTTGCAAACCTCAAATCCCATAATTCAATTATAGGTGCTTGATCATCTTCCGATGCTAAGCACAACTGTGTCGCAACATCTGGATGCCATTGAACCACTTTCCACCGTACCTTTATTTACAACATTGCGAATGTAGTGGACTGTACTGTTATAAAAAACTGAGCATGACAAGAGCATAAGTGAAATTACTTTTGAATTTGCATCCGTTAGCTTGATTATGGGTTCGTTCTTTCTTAAATCCCATATGACGCAGCGTTGTGAAAACGTGGAAGCAAGAATGTGTTGTACTATAAAAGAAAGGACAAAGAATCGTTAACCCTTTGCGAACAAGTGTCGGCAAATAGCCGCCCAAGCCGATATTCCGATATTCCGATATTTCCGGTTCTCGCACACCTCTGGTAAAAAGTTTTGGGCGGCTATTTGCCGACACTCGTCCGCAAAAGGGTTAATCTTGATTCCACTCGTGCATGTAACAGTTTAAATATGATAATAGAACCTTGCTTATTCCATGCAATATATTGCACATCTTCCAAAGGTTGACTCTTAGATCCAGGAGTCATCGGAGTAGTTGTATTAACAATGTCCCATATGTAAATTTCGCTTTCTGTTGCTCCTGTTGCTAATAAATTAGCTTGAAAAGGATTAAAGTCCAAGGCTCTGACAGGACCTGTATGTCTGTCTGGGCTACTTATTAAGCAACTACCATCATTAGCCAACAGTTTGGCCACGGAATAAATTTTTATAGCGCCATAATCACAACCTCCGACAATTACACCAGCTGGATTATTACCATACGAACCCCATATTATTTTATGAAATCTGAAAGTTTCATATACGCATAAAATTACTCGATAATACTTGTGAACGTATAAAAAGAATAAATGTCGAACCTATGGTCGCTTGCAATACTGGTTTTCAATTCCAAGTCTAATCCTGGTTGTTGCAAATTCAACGAATATATATCCAAGCTGGCAGATGTGTTAAAACTTGCATCAAGTTGTTGAGCTGCAGTTCCTGCAGCTAATAATATAGGATGTTGTGCAGGTGGTGACCATGCTACATTGACAGTCTTGAGCAACTCCTTTACCTTCATCCTTGGTATGCTGCAATATAAATACCATTTCCATTATTTTGCAATAAACAAAACAAGTTAAAAAATAACGTATTGCGGTATTATAATTTATTATTATAAATCATGCTTGTTCGGTTATACGGTATTATGTTTTTAAGTTACCCCGACAAACAGTCACGATATGTCTTATTTATCGTAAATAATAATGCATTCGAATATGTATTATACCGTGAACATTGAACTGCAAAGCATGTTACGATATAAATTGTATAAATGTTAATGATAATATTAGAAATATTTTAAACTTGATTGAAAGGTTCAGTGACCTATTGGTGTATCTCAAATTAAAACACGTGTCACGTATGTATCGAACCATTATCGTAAACAGAATAGAAAAGTCACAATTTCTTTAAATGACATTTCCTCACCTTAATATATTTAATTAATAGTAACTAAACGAAATTTTGTAGAAATGAATCCCTAACGTCAAACAAGTAGCAGTCACCCGTCAGCTTCTTCCAACGTGGCGAACCATACGTTGGGAATAGTGCTGACCTCTTTGGTATTTGTGCCTTGTAAGTATGTACAGTGTGGCAGCCCTCACACTGTATGACCTAACCCAGTGATGCCAGATTGAGCACCGGGTGCACTACTCACGCTATGCCAGATCACGCGTACTTACGTGACCTCGTAGAGTTTCGGAAAGTCGACAAAGGCAAAAACTGACGACACATGTCCTCTTTCTCGAATCTTCTCTTCTCTTCCTCTTTCCGAAACTCGACGAGCTCACGTAGGTACCCTTACGTGTGATCTGGCATAGTGTGAGTAGTGCACCCGGTGCTCAATCTGGCATCACTGATGTGAAGCCGCATGGCACGGCGAGCCTGGCTTTGTTCATCGCGTCCCAGTTATTTTCCAATAAACAGTTCCTTTGTTACCGTTACGCTGGACGCGTTCATTCATTAATTCTCGCGAGTCCCATTCCTGGAGCGTGGAGACACGCGGGTGACATTTTTTCCACATTGGTGACCCCGACGAACGAGCTTCTACCCGGGTTCCCACATTTTGTTATGGCTTATGGGTAGTGTTGCTAGCACGCAAACGATGAGGTGTATTACGGTTTCTCAAATTTCTTCCAGTTCAAGGTAGACGTTGGAATTTTTTCTTTTCTCACGATGACCCGTCGTGAGAAGCCCGTGATAATGGAAGCCTGGCTTCAACGATAACAGCTAATTCTCTCGTAATGAGATAAACGGAATAATTCTCAAACGTAGTGAAGCTCGAGTTAGTGTTTTTCCGACGAAGATTACGATGTGGCCGCGATTGAGAAGACCGTATCGCACGTGGCCGATCGTTCTTTCGATTGTCATTCTGACGGGAATGATTTTTATTTGGTTTAAGAAAAACCAAGAAACCGAAGATCGTAGCGATTACGCTTCGTTGCGGTAAGTAACTGTGAAACCAAAACTAAATTTTTTTTTAGGTTAACTTGAATTTCCTCGTCACCTGTTGCATCCGTTAATATAATTATGTATACAATTTTGTATCGTAGTCTGTCAGAAAATCAAAAGGACTATATGGATCATAGAGGAATACATGTTGTGGTAGGACATTATATTGGTGATTCTGTAGATCCTTTGAAAACACCTAACATTACAAAAGGTACTTATTTAGAAAGTAGTGGGCGGTGCTTATATATTTATACATTGTGGTTTTGGTTTATAGACCTCATAAATAAAAATATGTTCAATCCTCGGCCATTCGAGGGAAAAAATGGCAGTCCTGTTCTCGTACCGGCAAAAGATTTTTATAATATGCAACGGCTCTTTCAAATCAATCGATTTAACTTGATGGCTAGCGACAGAATTCCGTTAAATCGATCTTTACCAGACGTTAGAAGAAAGGGGTAATCTTTCGTTCTTTTTTCTTATCGTCTACATTGTGTATACCCTATAACTGTTTGTAATTAATTCGATCATATAGATGTATATCTAGGTATTCAAATTTGGGCAGTTTACCAAAAACGTCTGTAATTGTTGTCTTCCATAACGAAGCTTGGAGTACGTTACTCAGGACTGTACATAGCATTATTAATAGATCACCAAGACATTTATTGGAGGAGATCATTCTTGTCGACGATGACAGCGACAGAGGTAAAGGGAATAATTCTTATAGGCTTGTATTTATGTTGATATTTCTACTACAGTTATTTTTTCTCGTCCCATTTTCTCTATTAGATTTTTTGAAAGATGCGCTAGATGAACATGCAAAAAATTTACGAGTATCGACTAAAGTTTTGCGTTCGAAAAAACGCGTAGGTTTAGTAAATGCAAGACTTTTGGGCGCAAACGAAGCTAAAGGTGAAGTTCTCACATTCCTCGATGCTCATTGTGAATGTACGGTTGGTAGGTGAGCTCTTTTTCTTATCGTTGACCATGATCTGTGTGATAAAATTAGAGCATAGTTGTAATTTTTGTTTTTAATGGCACGTAGGATGGTTAGAGCCCTTGCTCGAAGCAGTCGCTAAAAACAGAACGAAAGTTGTGTCGCCTGTTATTGATATAATAAATGACGACACGTTTAGTTATGTTCGGTAAAATATGCATATATGTTTTTATTCTTTTTACATAATCATAATCGATAATGAACAGTTACTTAACAATTATTGTAATATTACAGGTCTTTCGAGTTGCATTGGGGAGCATTTAATTGGGATTTGCATTTTCGCTGGCTAACCCTAAATGGCCGTCTATTGAAAGAGAGACGCGATAATATCGTTGAACCGTTCAGAACGCCCGCCATGGCTGGTGGTTTATTTTCCATGAATAAGAAGTACTTTTTCGAGTTGGGTAGCTACGACGAACAGATGAGGATTTGGGGCGGTGAAAATTTGGAGTTATCGTTTCGGGTGTGGCAGTGTGGCGGTAGCATTGAAATTGCTCCTTGCTCTCACGTGGGGCATTTATTTCGAAAATCGTCGCCGTACACTTTTCCAGGCGGGGTCGGAGAAATACTATACGGAAATCTTGCTCGAGTTGCTCTAGTTTGGATGGACGATTGGGCAAAATTTTATTTCAAGTTTAATCCAGGTAGCAAGGTAGTAATTAAGCGGTGGTTAGGTTAGGTGATGTTCCTGCTACAGTTTTATGTGTGTTTACTATAGAAGCGGGGAGATTGAGGGACAAACAACCGGTTCGTTCCAGATTAGCTCTGCGCAAAAAATTGCAATGCAAGAGCTTTGAATGGTACTTGGATAATGTATGGCCGGAACACTTTTTTCCAAAAAACGATCGATTCTTTGGGCGGGTAAATATGATTTTCGCCTACTTAGAAATCATTCGAAGCGACCGAGTGATTAAAACGTAATGACCGATTGATATCTGGGACATTGGAATCGCTACACGACCCAACTGTTCTATACCGAAAGGGTTAATCTTTCGTAATACGCAATACTTTCAGCGGCGGCGAGTATGCTCATACGAATCGTTCAACTATTTTCAGAAATCATTTCAGATAATTTAAAGTAACTAATTTCACTCTATATCTATTTAAATATATAAAGAAATCCATGCGAATGAAGAATAGGCCCGAACGAACAAACTAGTCTTAAAGTTTTTCCTATTAAGAAAAAAAAAGCAAAAGCGAATTAACTTGACTCGAGCATCATAGGAACGTAATAATTTGGCGAGTATACTCGTACGGAACACTGACAAAATTAACAATATTACAAGATAAAAGATTTATAGGTGTGGGTTACTCGTGGAAATGAATTGTAAAATGTCGATTCTAGATTGTGCATGTTTCGACGAAAAGATGTATTATGCGGCCGACTGGGAAAGGCACGTATTCACAACCTTCGGGATACGCAGTTCTCGAATCTTGTATACCACGACCAATTCTCAGTCAAATGTTCGTAATGACAAAAAATGGAATTGTAATGACCGATGAAAGTGTTTGCTTAGATGCCCCTGAGCACGATTTTGAGCACAAGACACCAAAGGTTAAGATAATGGCATGCAGTGGCCATAACAAGCAAAGATGGCAGTACAACGAGCAAGTAAGTTTTCTATTCAAGGATATACAGTTTTGTGTAGGTAGAAAATATATGTGTATCATAGATTAGCTTTCCTTCAGACAAAAACATTTTTACACGTATCTTCCGGCATGTGTCTACAATCGAATAACGACGAGGGTCCTGTAATAGCTGCCTGCACAAAAAACGTTAATCAACAGTGGATGCTAGAATCAATTCCATGGAAATAATAATACCAGTATTGTTCTTTTTTTTTTATATATATTAAATATTATTGAGAAACGCGACGACACATTATCAAAATAGTGTTGCAGAAAATATAGAAACAATATTTTTCTAGATACTTTTACAAAAATGTATCGCTTGCTCGATTCTCTCTTTCGTACATGTGAATGTTTAATCCATTGTAAATAAATGTAAGCGAGACTTACATAGAGTTATAAGTTAGCGTTAAGAAATTACTTTTGCTATTTTTATTCTCGTGTAACGTTTTAGATGCAATTATATTTATATTTATATTGTAAGGTAATTACGGTTACACGTAAAAATCGCGACGAATCCCTTGTGTAATAAAAGGAATGGAAATCAACAAGATAGAAGTGTAATCGATCGACCGATTTGGTGGCGTCTGAAACGAACACACGTGTCTAGCGTACATTTCTTCGCGGACTAATTTAGAAATTCCTTAAACAGGTAATTTGTTGTTAATCATCTAAGAAGATGATGTTCATAGTCGGTGATTCATAAAACGGCTAAGGTTACACGTGACGATTCATTATTATCATCGCCGCGAAGGTTGTCCTGTTGTCGACACATTACGCGTATACGTTGCATATTGAGATTTCAATACATATTAAGCGAATGTTTCTAGATTTGAAATCGGTGAAAAGTAGTTTGAAGCTCGTAATGTCGAATCATAGCTTTTTTCCTGTTCTTCGTTGAATTTCTTACAAGGATAAGAATACATATTTATACATAGAAAATGTAGCCTCCTAAAACAGACAATTTTTATATCTTAGCCATTTTAAACGATAGGTAGAAGCGTTGCTTTTAAAAGTCGTATGAGTTGAAAGAGGGGACTAGTAGTGATAGAGAATCTTTTAGAATTTTTCTTCGGTACTTTTGTTGAATAAATTTCACAGTTTAAACTTGATTTTTAAACAATCAATGCAAATTCACAGCTGTCGAGCTGTCTGTCTTAGAGTGGTGATATCTGGGTCAAAGTCACGTCCTCTGCGAGGCCAAGAAGCCATTTATGCAGCTCGAAGCGGCCTAGTCACCCTGTTCGTTCAGTGTATACGAGCAACTTGATGCCAAGTTTGGCTGAGATGAGCGAGCCTTTATTTATGGATTGGTATCGTTCGACGAGCAGAGAAACTGCGAAGAACGTAAATCGAGCGACGCGAGCTTTCTTGATTTTCTCGCCACTCGGAAAGGCAAGAAAATTTTTGTAATTAATTACGTAAAAATAACATGTTAAGTAAGTACTTGCTCGCGGAATATGATTTTTTAAAAAAGTCGCAGTGATTGTTTTGCAAACAATTTAGTACTTTTGACAGGGTAATGGAAAAAGTAAAAAAAAATCGTTGATTCGGTTCGTATACGGCCGAGGTGCGAGCATAGCCCTTACCTACGGATTTGATCGACCCGCGGGTAAACCTGCAGTAAACTTGGACCGTGTATGGACCATTTATGGGGTCTGTTGGGGAAGGGACACGGAAGGAACGCGGAGAAAGTAAACTCAAGCACGAGACGAAAGTTCCTTTAAAATGAATTTTCACGTGTACGTTGTTGGTCATGTATGTATACACATGTGTGTGTATATATATATATACACATACATACATACATACATACATACATACATATATGTATATATGTATATAGATATTCTCTTTAATCGAATGTTACATATGAACATATATACAGTCACCACTATGCTACGGGACGCTGGACTATGGGGCTGAACAGTATTAAGGTGGAAAAAGTAGGAGCGACGGACGGTCGATCGTCCGCGAAAAGGTGGCTCTCGATAAACGAACTGTGTCCTTGGAACAAGACCATCGGCACTGTTATACTCGCGGGAATGCATCCTTTGAACGCGATAATCTCAAAATGCATGGTTGTCGAAGAGGAAAGAAAAATAACGAATAGGACTATTCCCGTGACGAAAACTACATCGTTTCCGTTTCAATCGCGGGGTTAGTGTCCCAATTGATTATTTTGACTAACGTATAGCGTAGGAAAAATAATTGTACGAGGTGAACTGAGCGTGGACCCACCTGCACGCACGTCTTACGATCTAGCGGTTCTAAAAGGTAACGAGCGCTTGACAGCTTCATCGGCCACGGCGCCGCGTTTGTGGCTAAACAGTAAATACATACGTATAACTCGGTAACCTCGGTGAAATCACAATCGTGGTATGTTTTTCATGCATATATCTATATCATTTGTATGTATATATTCATATATACTATATATCAAAATTAAACGTATTCTTTACAATTCGCTTGGTAAACATCGCACGTGATTGACTATTAATTTGCAGGAGAAGAGATGATGACCCCTCGGTATTCGTCCCTCGTCTGCCCCTTGCCGCTATTTAGAATTCGACCCGATAAGTATCTGTTGCATTTTCGGCTTTTCTATTCAAATACGTTTGTGGGATTAGCTGCCTTTTTTTTTATATCGCACATCGTCGAGTTCGATATCGTTGTCACGTCTATTTTTATTTTTCACGAAACGTTATGTTTCATTTTCTATTCGCCTTTGGACGATGATCGTCTTGGAAAATTCGAACTCGTCGATGCGCGGGAAACTAATATATCTTTACAATGATTTTGACTAACTAAATTGAGCCTCGATTCAAATTCTAGCAGCTATAGGTAAACGTGTGTACGAGAATATATATATATATATTCAGACACATATAATATATTATATTATAATTCTGATTTGCTTAATGTTATTCGTAACGCGACGATACGTCGCTGTCGCTGTTGAAATCATAGACGATATGTTGTCGCGTAGGAAATATCGTTTCTGATTTTCTAATAAAACAATGCAAGATTAATGGCAGTTGAACGCGATATATACATAATTGTATCTGCGTACGATCAAAATCTCGGTAGCACCCTTCGTGTATTATATTTATAGAATTGCTATGTGCGAATAGAACGCATGGAATTATTAGGAAAATTGATCTTTGATTGGACCGTGCAGTTACAGTATTATACATTTTTCAGAGTATGTACTCGCAAAGGTTTTGTACGGGACTCGTGAAACAATAGAAACAAAACAACTTGATCGAATAGAAAAATCGACTATACCTAATAGTTAGGTTTGCGATCGATCTAAGAATTTGTCGATCTTGGCGGAAAGTTTACAGGTTTTCAAATGTATCGGGAATTTCGACGAGGATACGACGTTTCGTATGCAGCAACGCGATGCATCGATTCGTGGGGTAAAACGTGGAATCGTATAATCGGTATTCAATGTCGAAAGATAACGCAAGCAAGAACGCAACGTTCGATGCAACAGAATTTCCGGTCGTTTAAAGTCGACGCAGAAACATTTCCTTTTCTTTTTATTTTCTTGTTCTTTTTTTATAACAGGCTGTCGCAATTGGAATCGGCTCGACTTGTTGTCCCCGCGCGTCGACCGGCGATCACCGGCGACCAGTGAAATCACGCGTGTAAACTGGAACGAGATGAGATCGAAAACGTAGCGGCGCGCGGACGTGAGAACAAGGCACCGGGGCACGCGCGATTTCGCGGATAGAGAGAGAGAGAGAGAGAGAGAGAGAGAGAGAGAGAGAGAGAGAGAGAGAGAGAGAGAGAGAGAGAGAGACACTCGTCCCCCGAGAAATTTCGCGGCTGCTAGCGTTGAGACTGATTCGATATTTTTCATTCCCAAGGGCCGATCGTATCAACGCACCGAATAGAACATTGTCATCTGTAAGGTCAGGATTCGCAAAATATTTTATTAATTTTTGTTCGTTTGCGAGCGATTCCAGAACGTTCGAGATAACAATATTAGATATAGAAATTGATAAATTTCAGAGCTTTCCGAAGGTACTCTGTTAGAGCATTGGCGAAAAGCGAACGAGTACTTGATATCTCGAGTTTTCTCATAATTATTGGATCGTGGCTCCGATCGTTAAATTTCATGCGACTGCTTGATGCGAGGGTTGCGTAACGCAACAATATTTTGAACGCGTCGTCGCGTCGTTCGAGACAGAAATGTCGCAACGTCTGGACGCGGCGCGAGCTCTTGTTGGAAAAGTAAATCCTCGGAGAGAGACCCGGTGTGTCGGACGTAGAATCGCCGAAGCAGCACTTGTCGACGCGATGGGGAATTTCGGACGAGATACATATGTACGTCCGAGCGTGGATCGGTGGACTGCTGCGAACGACTGCGAGGAAACCGATTTCCAAGTCTCGAGGTCTCGATCGATCGGATCTCTCCTTCTCTCGGTGGTGTGTCTCTCTGTTAGCGTTTCATGGTTGTCGAGATCGCTCTCTCGCCTCGGCGTGGCTCCTTTATTGCGTTTCACTTTCGCGATGAGCTTGCCCGTCCGATCGGGGCGTGGCAAAAGTGTAACGCAAGAGAAGTCCGAGGCCATCGTCAGCCGGGATCGTACATATATACGCTTTAGCAAGAAAAACAGGGCCTGGCATCCTCTCTCGGCTCCAGACGTCGCTTAGTAGCGACGCTTCGAATCTCGTGTCGTCGACGCGGTCCAAAGTGAACGCGCACGCGCGCGTGCCCCGATCTCATTGCGAAATCGACCACGCTCTTTAAATGGATTTTAAAGACCCGCGTGTCGTTGCTCGAATCCTCTGATACGCATACCGGATCCCTCGGTAGAAAAACCCAAACGAAAAGAAGAAATATATTACTCGCGGCTTGGCTTGTTCTCAGTTTCTGAGAATTGGCTGTCTGTCTTCTTGGTCGTTCGAAGCGTCTTGTGTCAGAGGCGCGCGCGACGATGCTGCATATAGTTTGCGTTCCAGTTAAACCAAGTAAATTGTCTGTCGCGTCAATCACCAACCTATCCTTTGCGAACGTATTCTCATCCGATCGGAACACGCTCCTTCGAAAACGAAGCGATCCAATCTTTGTTCGATCGCGTTTACCAAGGTTACGAGGATCTTCTGACCGCGTGGTTCGATGCAAACACTGCCTCTCCACACCTGTGCTACTTGCGGTGAATGTTGTTACAAAGTAGAAAGTGTCGATAAATTGCTCTCATCGTTAACAGGAATTCGTATTTTCATTTTCTTTGTTTTTTCCAACTCGAATCGGGAATTTTTGTCAACCCTTGACTTTCAAGTTTGCTCTAATTGGTTATCGTTATCTCGAGTTGGTCGACTGTTGGCGATTTCGACGATCGATCTATGCGCGTATTGGCTCGATCCGGCGTAATTAATCGAAGCGAGTTACTTACTACCAAGGTCGAATCACCTCGCGTTCGTTCGCGTTTGCGTTGGTGTTGGTTGGTAGGTCGGTCTGTCGGTCGGTCGGTCGGTGGGTCGGTCGATCGGTCGGTGGTTAGAAAGTGCTCGGTATGATTCGTAGCCACAGAGTCAAAAGCGGAAGACGATTAGATCGTTTCGCCACAGGTACAGATTTCAGCGACTGTCCGCAGGAAACGAGGTGGATCGTATCGTCAGCGTGTGGGATTGCTGATGGCGCTTCTACCAGTCTCTCCTCTCGTTTCTTCCTTCTTTTTTTGCTAATCATCGCCGACAGGAAACGCGTCGCTTTTCCGCCTCGCGTAAATCACCTACGCGTGTACAAACTGGGTTTGCCGCGTTTTCGATGCCGTTTAATTTCGGTACGAGACTCTTAGATCGTGACTCGATATCGAAACTATCGCGAAAATCATTCGCCCGGTCGTTGGTTACGATAAATACCACGAATTAATGGCGTGATCGAGCAGTCGAACGGTCGAAATTCACTTTCTAGCTCGTAAAATCGAGAATTGTCATCATTTTCTTGCTGGAAGAACGTTCGGCTCGCGTTTAATCTCTCTTTCTTTTCTTGTACTTTGTCGCGAGAACCAAACGAAAATAAAATCTTACGGAAACGTATTACGATTCGAAACCTTGACGATCGATGATAATCCCGACAGCCTGTCTTTCAAAAATGTTGTACGCGAGCAAAATGTCTCTACTCTGTTGCGAACATTCCGTAAATCAGTCTCCAAAATACGGGAAAGAATCGATTCGATCGTACCTTGGGAAACCGGAAGAAATTTCAGCGTTAAATCGACAGCGACGTAACGTTTTTACCCGTTTTCTTCGTAGATTAATTTACAACGATAGAAACGCGCGTGCGCGTATCCTGAAGTAATAAAATTGTTTGTACTAAGAACGAATTTTATCGTCTCTACTTAATCTAGGTGTAACGTTTCGTGGTATCCGATCTGTTAGAGAGCATTTTACGCGGGTTCTCGTTTAAGGCACCTGTTGGTCTTTCAACGACGCATAGGATTTTTTTTCTCCATCGATATTCGCAGCGAATATACGTATGTAGATCTCGTGCGAAATAATTGAATAAATTGATCGCGACGAAGCTTGATTTTAAAGTTATGAAATTGTATAGGATAATTGTACGAAGAACGCGATAGTCCCGTATACAGGGTATACATAGGTTGGTTCGTCGACACCGTAATTTACACGTGCACCGGCATCCGTAATCGCGCGAGTCTAATCTTACCGCCACATTTCGAGCGGATCAGTCTAACCGAACGGGGTGCGACGCGTTGTTTGGCCCTTCTCGCCGGAGTAAATCCATACATATCGAATCCGTGAACGTTTCGATCGCTATAAAATCGTAGCGACTCGCAGGGACATTTCGACCTCTAAACTAACCGCGCGTCCGGCGAGTTTCGCTCGGACGCACGATCGTGTTGTTTGCTTCAGGTGTTATTCCCAGGCGACAGGGGTGGCGAATTGATCTCTCTTTGTTCCTCCTGGACGCTCTCGGGTCTGCTGGCGGTGCTGCTCGACCTAGAGCTAAGATTATCTCGATCGCTGAAGTACGAAGAGTCACCCCTCTTCTCTTCGAGCTGAAGTTGTTGTTTGTCGGTCCTGAAGTCGTCCGGCCCGTGACCCAACAGCCCGGAGAAATAAGGTATTCCCTGTCTCTGCGAGGTGATTTTACCCATGAAACTGCGAATCTCCTCGAAATAAGACTCGTCCGCTCTCGGTAGCTGACCGTGGTACCTCGATCTGACCTCGTCCAGTATCGTCGGTCCGTCCGCGTCGTGTTTCTTCAGGTGTCTGTCCAAGTTGGTTTGTTGCCCGAAACACCGTTCGCACAACGGACACTTGAACGGTTTCTCCTTGTTGTGGATATTCCGCACATGGCGCTGAAGATTGCTGGATATGCTGAAGCTCCTCTCGCAGTATTTACACTTGTACGGTTGTTCGCCGGTGTGCGTTCTCAGGTGTCGCGTCAGGTTCGCCGATCTAGGAAACACTTTGCCACAAAACTTGCACGAGTATCTGTCTTTTGGTTTCAGACCAGCTTGAACGCCGATCGAGTATGGTGGAAGACTGGAAGAGGTTTGCTGCTGCTGCTGACTCGGATGACTTTGTTGTTGTTGTTGCTGCTGTTGCTGCTGACTCGGATGACTCTGCTGTTGCTGTTGCTGTTGACACGGATGGCTCTGTTGCTGCTGCTGCTGCTGCTGCTGTTGCTGCTGTTGGCCGCTCGCGGGACTCGGTATTCTCGCGGCGGCCTGCGAAGAGGAGGAAGACGAGGTGGTCGAAGTTGTCGAGGAAAATCTATTGGGAGGCAACGGCACCATGGTGGGCAAAGCTCTGACTTGAATTTTAGGCAAGTCTGGAACCGGTGAGCCATGATGGTGCGACCGATACATGGCTTCGAGGACCAACGGATGGACCGCGTGGTGTTGAGGAAACAGTACCGTGTGGTAAGGAAGACTACCGCCGAGGCTGTTCCGATTAAGGACCTCTATCTCGTTCTGATTTTCGTCTCTGAGCCTCTCCTTCTTTCGATCGACGCGGAGATCGAGCGGCTCGCAGTCGAGATCGTCCTGATGGTGGTGCGGTTGGGGCGGCCTGGCCGCGGGACTCATGTGGGGTTGTTGCTGATGTTGCTGTTGATTCGTAGGACTCGATAGCCCACGGCCGTGTCCGTGGCTCAAGTCGTAGGGCAACTCCTCGACGTCCGGTACGCGAACGCTCAGCGGGTATATGCTGGCTTGCTTCGGGCTGATGTGCCCCGGCATTTTCCTCGGACTCGAGTCCTTCTCCCGCATGGCTGGAGGATACTTGGGGTCGTGCAGCAACGTCGGGGGCAGGGTGACGCTACCGAGATATCCGCTCATCACACCGCCTCTGTCACCCGCGTTCTTGCGCCTGCTCGTCGCTCGAGGTAATCTGCAATCGAAATACCATACGTTTTTTTTATTTTCAACGTCGAACTGACTATCTTTTAATCAACAGCTTAAAATTCTGCACCTTACACATTACCGATATTCGTCCGAATCGTTTCATGAAATTGTTCGCACGATTAATGATCATTTTCTTACCATAATTGGAAATATCATTTTAAGAGAAATTGTTCTCCATCGCGAAGGATCTATCTTAAACGTGTACACGCTAATGTCACTCGTTCTTTCGCGATCATGAATAATTAGAAGAAATTACGTTGACGGAGGCGTGCGTGTGCGGTGACGTTAATGCTCGTTTCATCTGGCGGGTGAGCATTGTTTGCTCGGGCGTTAAAGTCTCCGTCGACGCGCGACCACCACGCGCCGTACCGTACCGTGCCGTGCCGTGTGCTGTGCCGTGTGCCGTGCCGTGCGCTACCATTTAGATTCCCATCTTTCGAGAGCAAATTTTATAACATTCCTATATAGGAAGCTCCGATCGATCGAGGAAATCGACCGATCCGTTCTCAGCCGGTGGTGTCGTTTCGCGCAAATTGATCCAGTTACCGAGGAAGTTAATTCGCAGCTGGTTGTCCGGTTCCAATGAAAGAGAAAACCGCTCGCAACGTTGACAGAGATGCAGGGAAGGGAGCATAGCGGGATGGGGTGGGGTGGGGTGGGGTGGGGGACAGGGGATAGGGGGAAAAAAGAGGAACGACGGAGAAGCAAGAACCCCGTTCCAGCGTAAAAGGAGCAAAAGCAAGAAGCTCGCGACCGGCAATAGTGAAAAGCGTTAATTGCGAGTGCGGGGAATGCGAAGACGACTGGGTGGTGTTCGGCTGGAATCGAAAGTATACAGACCGTTTCAAACACACTGATCCATTCTATCGCGATACTTTACACGACTCGTTTCGTTTTGCAAATCGTCGACGGTGTAAATTTTTCGCCCGGGGAAAAGTTTGTCGTTTGTTGCTCGGTTATTTACGTTTTTCGTTACGTTGCTCCATTTACCCAGAGGACGATAGCTAACTGTCCCGTAGATGCGATGAATGAAATTCGATTTACGTATCGTGCTTTCCCTTGTTTCCATTTGATTTTTCAAAGAGAAACAGCGTGCGACGTAACAGCGTCCAGTTGAAATAACGCGATCCCAGGCGAGCCCGTCGTTTGGTCTAACGAGGTTGCCGGCAAACCTGGCCGTCCCTTTGGAGATTTCCGGTAACTTAATCGCGAGTTGCGCGCTTCTCGGAATTTCGTTTCCCTCGAGCGAGCCCGAGACGGCGCTTTATCTCCCGAAAGGTGGAGTTTCACCGAGCGACTTCGTGAGTAATGTCCTCGGGAAACGGTAGCTGGTTCCGTGGAACGACGGTTGCAATAAGAAGGAGAGGCGGAGCACGATCCTTAAGGACTGACATCTGTTACGTGAATCAAGTCGGACTGACGTCGTTCGAGATCGGACAAGATCCACGCTACCAGCCACGATCCAGTTTTCGGTTTCTAGAAAGTTGGGATGAGTCGGGCGTGGTTTGTCTCCCTTTCCTTCTTTTTCTCTTTCCCTTTCACCCTCTGCCTCTGCCTCTCGCTCTGTCGTCCTTGTCAGTATGGTTTCTCTCCCGACATTCACCTACGTGTACCATAAGTGCGCCTCCAGGGCCGCATGATCACCGATCGAGAGTACATCTTTAACATAAATCCTTACGCGATTCGAAATTTATTTATCTTTTACTTGGATCTGGATCTGGATTGGTCTATCGCATCCTATTTTATGGACAAGTACGAATTGTTCGCAATTAATATTTCCGACTCTTTTTTTAGCACGTATTATGTATTCCTATTTGCATGAACTTTCGTATAAGATTCAATACTCGTTACCGACTTGACTTGTGTATTTCGAACACAGTGCGCCGAGCCGCGTATCATTTCGACTTGTCGTTGGTATAAATAAAATGCATGTAAATGAAGCATTCGAACGATGAATTTCCAAGAGGAATCGATAAATTAAAAGCAAAGTAGAGAATAAAGAATGTCCGACAAAGTGGGAGGAAGGGGGAGGCGAAAAGGGTCGGTGAAAGGTGGTAAAGCGATATAAGATCGCAGGTTTCAGTTTCTGCGCGTAATCGTTTTCAATGTTACTTTCATTCGGTCTGACAGACGACACTGTCCGTTATTCATCCAACTTTGTATTTCGTGATCTTAGCACCGGCCAGTTTGACAGAATTAATTTGTCGACAGCATTTTGCCAAACCGCGTACGCGTAAGAGGCGCGCATGCATTTCCGTTACTCCGACGATTATTATTTATGATTTAGCTCCTGACTGCGGCTGGGATGATCGCGCCCACGCTCTCCTTGATAGTTGGTAACCTTGTCGATGCAACGCCGATGGACGCGACGTGTTTCGACGAAAAAGAAGAAAACCGAGACGAAGATGGAAGGATAGCGTTCTACTGCAAATTCCCTTGCAGTAGAAACAGACCACCGTTCTTAGTTGGACACGCGTGAAACTAAAATTGTACGATTTGCGGTACGATATTAAATGCATAGTTGCGGTCGTACATTTTGCACGCGTACGTTGGTACAATTTTCATACGAGCAAGACGAATCGTGTAGCAAAAAATATTGTATTATAAGCGACGAGAGAGGAAGCGATTCCTATTTCTTTTGTTCATTCGTTTATTTAGAAACGCACACGCGTATCCTGCTATGCTAACCTTATTGGTTGGCACAACAATCTCTCCATTCGGTTCGCGATGAGTGGATTCAGAAGGTTCTCGACTAGTTTCCGGTAGTTTTACAAACGCTCTGACCCTAATAAGCGTTGCCTATTAGGACCGAGGGAAGACAATGCTGTCAGGGATGACTGCGATCCTGCTTCCAAGGAAGCGACGTATCATCCGTGTCTCCTCTGTCCGCTCGAGACATCCTTTCGATAATAACGTTGCGCGAAAGAACGGCAAACGATTTTAAATACACGTACAGGACTAGTAGGCGTATTTCGATCTTCCATCTACGAAACATCGATAGATGGAAGATCAAAGACGGAGATATTCGGAAGCACAATTCGATAGAAATTTTCAAGCTAAATCGATTCAATTTCACTCTCTTCGTATCCAGATCAATTTGACCCGCGCGGTTAAGGAGCAGGTTAACTGCGATTCGTTCGAGCGAAACGAAGTTGCGCCGCAAACTATGTACATATGTATGTATGTATGTATGTATGTATGTATGTATGTAGTTGGCAGGTGGTTTCGAGTAGGCGCGCTGAGAAACTGCATCCTGACTATTTCTATAAATTCGAAAGCGTTTGCGCGATTTCCGCTAGCTCGAATTCGCGCTAGGAAATCGAGAGTCACGATTCCAGTGGATTCGTCGATACGAAGAATTTTCCAACCCAACAATTTATAGAATTTCAGACGACCTGCGTCGAACATTCGGCGGTTTTCACCACGGTCTCTCTACGATTTAGATAAACGACGACTCGTTCCGAGCGTTTCCTTATGAAACCTAAATTATCGGTGCGCCACTGGAATTTCGCGTTATACTCTCACCGCAAAGCAGCCTTGAATTCCGTGATACTCGTTGACTCGCGGCCGATACAAAGTATAAAAAATTGTTCGCAAAAGATACAACCTATGAGTGTACAGAAAGATATTTTTTTTTTTTTTATATATTATGCAAAAATGTTGCATCGTATACTATTCCTATCTTGATAATATTTTGTTGTGGTTATCGTCGATATGCATTACGAGTATAATATCGGTGTGATATAAAAATAATCGCGGTTGTAATTATGACTTGATCTTGTTGGAGTATTTCGACGTCGGACGCATAGCGGACGCATAGCGTTCGTCGCGAGAAATTCGATCGTAACAAAGTAGCCTAAACGCTTTCCCGTTGTAATTGTTCCAGTTTGAGCGAAACGCTAACAGTCTGAAATTCGTCAAATAATTCCATCGCGCCGGAAGAAGATTATGCCATTTATAGACGTTAGATCGAGGCCTCGACAGTGCTCGGCTGAGAATTTTTCTCACGGATCGCGCAACGCGTTTAAACCGTGTCTGGTAACAACGGTAACGGCCATTTGTCTGGAAATTATACGATAACGGGCGAAGGGAAGAACAACGCGAAGAAGCACGCAAGGAAGGAACGAGAAAAGAAAGTATCTGCTAGCGCGAGAAGCCCGAGTCAGTCGCTGAAAGGACTTGTGCTTGCTGTTCATAATTATCGCGATTACCGCGCTACAATTTAACGAACCAACCGCGCTCGGAGCATCGTGACCTAATCGGAAAAATATTTTACCGTGCAAGGCATGTTTTCAATAACGCTACAGACGTATTCGTCGAACAGAAACGGAAAGATTAGAGTGTCCTTTACCAAAGAATATACATAGATATACATACGTACTTACAGTCGCCGTTGCCAACGGCGCGGCGCGGCGCGGCGCGGCGCGGCGCGGCGTCTGTTTCGAATGAAAATAGATAGATCCTTTAATTTCTAAACGTCAATGGTGGCATCGAAAAATGTCCGTCGTTGGACAGTGTTCGTTATCGTAGACGCTTTAACGGTATTGTTTCTGGTCGTCGACGCGATTTTGAAATCGGTGCAAGTTTTGAATCGCGTCGTTTCTCTCCCTCTCTCTCTCTGTTCCTAGCTGGCTGTGCATGCCCGTCCGTCGGTCTGTTTCTCTGATGTATTGTCATCGGAGTTCGCCACGCGACGCACGCGTTGGAACGCTGCATCCGATGCGGTGGTTTTTTGCGATTCGTTTGAAAGTGCCGCTACTACGCGCCGCGACGTGCACTAGTTTTTTTGCCAACTAATAAGCTGGCGAGCGAGCGGGGAGAAAAGTTATCGGTCTTGTTCGTTTCGATTTCAAAACGAGCCGCGAATGAAGCGGTTTTGCTTTCAGCTGTTACGAGAATTTAGCGAGTCGCTCGGACATTCGAGCAAATGACAACACTGCTTACGCGGATGCTCGCGCGTCCAGGCTCGAATGTCACCTGTCACGATTAGAAGTTCGTAACGAGGAGAGCGAGGAAGGAAACGAGACTTCTGGATTCTTAATCGACCCACGGAGTTTCTAGATAAACCAAGTCGCGGCGGTTGATTCGAATCGATTATATAAGTGGACGATTTCGAGCGATTTCAAGCGTCCGCTCGTGACCGAGATACGAAAATTACGTACGGGAGCGTACCTTCTCCGGCTCTAATAGGCGATTGTGATTTAAAAGGAGTGAAATCCGTGGCAGATGAGAAAACGAGCGACGCGACAGTATAGAAAATAGACGACAAGGGGAACGCCCGTGAGCGATGGCATGTTGGGAGATCGATGACCCACTGTAATTCAATTCAACGTATTAGAAAGCGTCTTTTAATTAATGCGTCGGCCCGATATTAGCCGTCGCCGCGCGAACCGGGTTACCGGCCTCTCGATGGATCCAGTTTAATAAAGTTCTCTTCGTTGTCGTCGTCAATCGTAATCGATCGTGAATCGTATACATATATCGAAACACGGTCTCTCTATCTCGAAGGGTGTAGGGTAAATCGATCGCTTACAGATCGAAAGAGCGTGCTCTACGCTCTTAGTTTATTATACACGCGAGTGGACACAAGGGAAATTGCTCTCCTCGTTGATACCACACACCGGAGGAGAATAAGTAAATCCTATTATTTTTCTATATAGCTTATCTCAGGCGCAGATAATTCTTTCCTTTTCTTAGCTTTGCGTTCCAAGAAGTTTGCAAAGATCACTGATCGAACCGTCGCGTCTCGTCGATCCATTTCACCAAAGACTCGGTATTAGACTTCCAAACTTTCAGCGTCGTGCAGAACTCGTCGAATCGCTCGTCTTTGCTACGTATAAATAAAAGCGGGAAAAAGAAACGGGCCAGGGATGACGACGGGCGACGGCGATGGCGATGGCGATGGCGATGGCGATGGCGATGGCGATGGCGATGGCGATGGCTTGTCGCGTTGGTTCGATCGAGAAAGGAGGACGAACGCGAAGCGGGAAGGGATGGTTGACTAACAAACGACGATTTTGACCCGTGTTGCGTGAATATTTCATGAGAAAACGGTTCAAGATCCAATGCTGCGATGGAAATCGAGGGATGAGGAAGAAGAAACGGAGAGAATCAGGCCAGCGCAACGACTGGGCAACAACCGACCCGAACCAAACATTCATGAAAATCTATTCCTGATTTCGGGGCTGATCGTTGTATATATGTATGTATTTCCAGACGTTATTGGTTGGAGGCTGCTTGAATACTACCGGGGATCACCGAGTTTCCACGAAACGACGCGAACGTTGCACCCTTTTATCGGTCTTGTTAGTAGCTTTCGTTCGCATCGCGACACTGTTATGCGCGTTTTCTTGCTGGACGATAATCGTTGTTGACTTTGCTCGCGGAAGCTGCACGTCCCGTACAAACTATAATCGAGAGCAGTCGCGTTCCTTGTATCGTTTCCGCGAGAAAACAACGCATCGAAGCTATTCTTAAATACCACGTTCGGTTTAAATACAGGTTCTCTTTCTTACGTACGGCTGTAAATGAAAATTATTTTGCCGCGCAAAAACGTAATCTTGAAGGAAAAATAAGAAATATCGGTCGGAAGCTCCGTACGTCCAACTCGTCCAAAGGGCGCGTAATCGCCGTAATCGCAGTGGTGGTAATTTTTCTACGTGAAAAGTGTGGGCGCGCGTCGGTTGTCTACGATAGGTGGGGTTCCGGCGACGGCAATGAGCTTAACAATGGCATTGCGATACTGCTCGAATTTAATTTCAAACCAGCGAGACCCATTGTACGCGCGTACTCGCGGACGTATAAATAGACATACTCGGTACGCGCGTGCCCACGCAGCAACTTTATGCCACCGAAGATCCGCTGCACCGTCCCTCCTCGGCGTACAGTCGAATTTGCATTTACAACCTCGAGCCTCTTCTAGAAAAACAACGCATAAATTCTCGTTAAACACGATATTCGAACCGCTCCGACTTTCGTCGTCGAGCAAACAATTTCATCCGGAGTAAGGTAAAAGACCCGATGCTTGGACAGGTCAAAGTATCGGACAATTTCCGACTAGATTAAACGTTCGTAGCGCTTTAGATTGGAAGCTAAGGTGGTAAAGGTGGTTTCGCGACAAGTTACAACCTGGTGGATAATAACGTAACACGATGACAAGGGATTTTAAAGACGGCATTCGGGCACGATGTTGTCGTCCAGGAACCATTTTACTACCGTTTGCGGCAAGGCATAGCCGAGGACATTGTTCGAATCTCTGGGAATCTCTCATGATTGTCGTGTTTCTCGTAACAGTGCCCGTATTCAAATAATGTCGGCACACGTTTACGCATCGCGCGGTCGTTGAGCAACCGGGGACAAAATGGGGAACCGATGTTGTCGTGTAACTTTGCGATAGATCGTGCGGCATTAAACTAGCCGCAAGAATATATATGGTTTAGTTAAATAATCGCGATTAAAATGCACGCATCTGTCGAATAATTTAACGATTGCTCGTCAACGCCAAGGAGCTTTCACGCTCGGCGATAAACCGACCGGTTTCTTTCGGGCCGCCCTCGATCTCCAGCGTATCGGTGGTCGGTGCGTTAATTGTACCAACTACCGGTGTAAATAACCGATCAGATTTGCCCAAGGAAAGAAATCGAGCAGTCGCCGGTGAATTATTACGCAGATAGGGGAGACGGCCGCGAGGAATCGTTAATGGCGAAATCGATCGCCGCCGCGGCGTGGCGAGGCGGCCACGGGTCGAGAAGAAAGAAAATAATGGGAGCGCGCGAAGAGGAGAGCGAGAGAACGTCGATCCTATTGGTTCCGCGCGAATGTAACGGTGTAGTCGATCTATTTCGATCGGCGTGGCCCCTACAAGAAAAATCGAGGCGCCTCGGCCAGCCTCGGTTGGCTTACCTGTTATCAATTAACTGTTAACGTTGCTGCGCCCTCGGAACCCGTAAGTGCTGCGTGCACTATCGAACGACGCGCTGCATCGCGCTGCATCGCGGTGCACCGCGCCGGGCCGGGCCGGGCCGGGCCTGTTTCTCTATGAATAATGTATCTCGGTTCAGGGAATTCGTGGCATTTAATCATTGGATAGTTAAGAGCGGACGGACGACCGACTTTGGCAAGATTTATACGGTACCCACCAATATCCCTGCGAGGCCATGAGAATCTTCCGCGCAACGCAACGTTTCCTCGCGAACCACGTGCTTCCCACCGATACGTCGCGCCATTCGTACAATGTCGCGTTCTGTACTCGCTCTCTTTAAATCTAAAAGAGTTTAGTCGTATTTACGAATAAACAAAGAAACATTTTAAGCGGAATCATGCGATTTATCCAGAAACAACTTGTTGCTAGCATAGCCAGTGGCCTGGTCCAAGTTCGGTTGATACGAACGTTTGCGAAATTCTCATCCAGGAGAGAATAAAAATTCGATCGAGACAAATAACGAGAGATACTTTAGCGCGTTCGGAATGGCCGATCACCTTGCACGAGGTTATCTCGCGTTACTGCGGTCCCGCGAATGGGCGCAGTCCCTCGGCAGTCTGGAGGCGCGTAAATTTATGAACAAGGAAACGCCGGGAATCGCGCAGGGAACATAGCTTTCGCAGTGTCTCGTTGCCCCAGCGGCGGAACGAACCGTTCGGTGATATAAGGACGAGCGTGGGCGTCGCTTACTTTTCAAGCAGAAGGAATCGCGAAGCGCGACTTGGAAACTGGTTCCAAGCGAATTAGATGCCCGGAGGTGGTATTTCGAGTGAAACGTGCTCGTCGGTCGTGCGTTACGGAAAACGATCTACGGATCTATTCGTTATCTTTATTTTTATCCTCAACGACGTTCCTCGAACCGATGCGATGGAACGACGTATAACGGAAATCGATGCTCTCATCCAGTTTAAACAATGATTTTCCTAGTATGGAAAAGACGATGGAATTTGTTTTTTTCTGGATCGTTGGAGAGATCGGAAAGATGGAGGAGTAGGAATCGAAATTTGTTCGACGGCTAGACAAAAGACATTCGTGGAAACGTCTTGATCGATATAATTAGACTGTCGCGATTGTTTGGTCGTGGTGGTTGGTGGTGTGTGCAACGCCGGTGCAGCTTGGCGCGCTTCGAACGCGATCGGGGAGGGCGGCCTCATAAATATTCAACGGCACCGGTCGCGACAGTAACGCTTGGACTCTTGCCACGGAAGGAAAAACAAATCGATTTACCTTATGTGTCATTCCACGACCTTGAAGCCGGGGGTAGCTGACTGCACTTGTCACGAACGGTTCTCACTTTTCCATCCGATATCTCGATCGTGTCTTGTTCAACTTGTTTTTCTTTCTTTCCCCTCGTTTGCCGATTTGTCGAGTCGCGCGTAATATTTGCAAGTTCACCAGGATTGTAGGAGAAACAGAGAGGGAAACAGGAACACTCTGGTTTCAACAATAGCACACTATCCTCACATTCGAGCACTCTTCCTCTTGGTTCATCGATCCCCTGGACAGTGTTTTACGAGTATCCAGATCGAAACGTCCGATCGAACATCCTGATGATGTTTCGTGGGTCCGGCCGGTTCGGGGACTCTGATCGAGAGCGGTATAGGAACCTCGTGGCGACCGCGGCCGCGACCACGTGTTCGAGCGACAGATCGCAACGCGCGATCGCGAGGCGGGAAACGTTGTGGCCGCGCGCAGGCGCGCGGTCGAGCGCGCGTACCTTCCGGATTATTAGTCCGGATAGAGCAGACCGACGCGACGTAACGGTATCCTTGAACTGGTTAATTCCGATTCGTGACTAGACCGTCGTCCCTGCGACGATAGAAACGGATAAAGAATGTCGAGCGATTCGGGTATATCACGCGCGACCGAGCTATCCTGTCCACTGGCTCGATGATACGGGAGGTGTTGTCCGGGTAGGGGGGCGCGATCGCGATCCGTGGATCCCGCGGTGCGTCCGATCGATCGCGTGTCGTGTCAACAGGACAGCGGAGTCTTGACTGTTGGTTGTTCGGGTCTGCGCGGAGAAACGGAAGGAGTCGAGCACGTTGCTCAGCACCGTCCGGCGATCGTTTGGTTGCTCCTTGTCCAGGTCCTCTCTCGAGGCGTGTGATATCCCCCCCGTTGGGCTGCCTCGTGGACGAAGCGGAATATCAGAGAGCGTTCTCGAGGAGATTCGTGAGACGCGACTCGCGGCGAGCCACGGAGGGGGGAAATGTTGGCGAGGCACGGCGGCGTGGCGGCGGTGGCGGCGTGGCGGCGTGGCGGCGTGGCGGTGTGGCGCGACGACGGGAAGCTGTGTACGGTGGTGAGTAAGCCGAGCGTATCGGTGAGTAAAGCTGCGTCGCGCGATCCAACAGTGGGGGAGAGAACTGAGCGATCGAGAGATACACACGGTGTTCGAGAGAGCGAGAAAAAGGGAAAAGTAGACCACCGCAAGGGTACAGGGAAACGGAGGGGGAGGGGGAGGGGGAGGGGGAGGGGGAGGGAGTGACAGAGGGCGAGGGCGGCTCTCTGTGTATGCGCGCTCGAGGGGTTGGGACGGACAGAGGGAAATGTAGGGAAAAAGATAGACGAGGAGACCGAGAGGAGACCGCGAGAAGAAGGCGCGCACACAGAGAAGAGTATCGTGGACTGGGCGGGGAGACTGAACCCGTAGGTTGGCGGGTAGGTTAGTAAGTAGGTAGGTAGGTAGGTAGGTAGGTAGGTTGGTAGGTAGGTAGGTAGGTAGGTAGGTAGGTAGGTAGGTAGGTAGGTAGGTGAACCACGAGGAATACACACGGTGTAAGTTCGTGGCTGGATGGTAGGATGGTGTGCGCGCCAGGATAGCGAGGAGCTCCCCTGCGTGTTAACCGTGAGAGATGTCGGGAAGGTAAGTGCTCTCCTCTCTATCAGCTTCGGAGTAGCACCATGCCGGCACGCGACCTGCCCTCTCCCACCTTGTCTTTCGCCATCAGCTTCCACCGTCGCTTCTTCCTTCTGCCGTACCACCGGCGGTGCCCTTCTCTCTCTCTCTCTCTCTCCTTCTAACTCGTTTCCTCTCGTTTCCTCCGACAAGTTCCTCCTCGATCTTCTCCTTCCCTCTTTTCGATCGCGCGCAAACGGTGAAACGAAAGAGCGCGACCAACTAGATAGAGGGAGACGCGTGTGTTGGTGGTACCACACCTACTAGCTGAACACCGACACACCGGAATCCTCCCACCAGCCGGTGCACGCCGTGCCGAGAGGAGGAAGAAATCGAGAGGAACACCGAATGACGCTCGCCGTCTCCCTTCTGTCGTTAATCGTCGTCTAACCTCTCGGTCGGCTAATTTACCTTCGAAACTGTGATCGCTACGGACCAATTCTTTCTTTAAATTAGTAGCTACGTCCGCGCGCTCGCGGATGTCGATTTCTTCCTTTCTCGCTTTCCATAGTAGAAACGAAAAAATATGCACGCGTGTCTGTTCCCTCTACTCGAATTTTTCCACCGAAATCTACGCGTCGCTCTACACACCGGTTTTCGACAGTTTCTTTCAAGTACCTGCTGTTCCCCTTTATCGTTTCCAGTTCCTCGTCGGATCACTCTCGTTTCGTTCATTTACAAAATTGTAACGATTCTTCGTTCTCGCCGAAAGTTTTTTTCTTTTTCGTTACGAGATGTAATTATTGTGGTGTTGGTAGCTAACAATGTAAAAAATCTTTAATAAAAATATATTCCCATTTTTTTTGTTGATAAATCGAAGCCTAAAAGAAGCATCGATCGAACGCTCGAAAGCACGATTGAAACGCGAAACGCGCGTCTAATTAACCAAGCTGAAAGGTGGATCGATCGATCATCGTCTTTACGTGCGAGTTACTACTCATCCTTGAGCGTGCCATGTTTGGTGGAAACTTTATCCAAGTTGTAGCTTTCTGGGTCAATCTCTGGTTAGCTTCTTAGCTTTAGGTTGCTCGAGACGCCCGAGAAACTAGGCACGACGAGTAAATCGAGGAGGTAGCATAGGTATATACGCCTCGAGACCTTAGATCATCGGATCCTCGTGGATCTGCTTGCTCCGCCTTGTTGCGCAACGATCGCCGCTGTCGGTGATCTCGGGCAGAGCAGTCCTGACACAGTTACCTGGTCAGAGCGTTACGGCCGGATTAAAGAAACGAAAAAATAACACCGAGAAACGTGAGCCACTCTGAAAGACCCTTACTCCGTGCTTCACGGTTTCCCGACTTTTTTCCGACCTTTTGTTCGCCGAACGAAAATACACTCGCTCTGTCGCTTCGCCGATCGAACGAATCATCGTCTTCCGAGCCATTCTCACGATAGACATCGGTCGCAGTCACCCCTAGAAACAATATTATCGAGCAAGTTGTTACATCGATGCGGTCGAATTTCCTATCGAACGTATTTTGTAAGCAACAGCGCAACGGAGATGCGATCGCGATGGATTCTTTCGTTTCGCATTCCGTTCTGTACGATGACACTTCCCGCGGGGTTTGACGCGACACGGGACGTAAGCGTGCAAACACCGAGAACCCGTCATTAGACGCCTACGCGCGCGAATATCATCGAGGAGGGCACCAAGCGTTTGCGCGGATACCGCGACGCATCGCTGTCGCGACGAAAAGCCCACGAGCCCGGATAAATATATTAACGGAGGAAGCGTCCGGTACGCGAGCACGTCGCTGGATAAAAGTTCCTCGCGCATTAACGCATTAACAAACTCAACAGAAACGGATGAGTTTCATCCGACAGCAAACAGTCCGAGATATAGTATTATAAAAGGTTTTAAGGCAAGATTGAAAATCTCGGTGTGGCAATCGCCGTATCGTAACACCTTCTCGGGTTCGATCACCGAATGCACGGCTGTCCCGATCCTCTTTAGCGTCGATCGTTGAATCCCGCCCGCAGTGTTATTGCGCTTCTCGCGGCACCTTACTAGAACGCTCGCTCTAAATCTTCCTTTAACGGCCATCGTTAGTTAATCGTTTCGATGCGGATCGTCCAGTTTTGGGGCCCGGGGCCGGCCACGACTTGGACTTTCGTAGATCCTCCTGCTCCGCGTCTCGTTACGAAAACATCTCTTTGACGAGCGAAAAGGAAACCGCAACTTGCGAGGCGTGAACGATCAATGATTGCGGGAGACCGAGAGGAATTCGATTCGATTTTGGTGATAATGGTCCGGACGAACGTCAAGGAATATCCTGGGTATAGAAATATCGATCGGTAAAGTTTATCACAAGTACGCATGCAACTTTCGATCGATGATCGAATATGGACGAAACGCGTTCCTCGTATTCCGTTTGGAAGCTCCGATGGCTGGGCGAATGTAATTTATGAGGTGGTGTGGCGCGGCGTGGCGGTGCCAATGACGGCGGGGTGTCGTCGACGTCTGACGGAAGGGGCAAAACAACTACCGTTCCCTCTCGATTGGTCGGTACGACGTTATACATTTGCAGTGGGAGGAGTTGTTCGCACTTGTGCGGGCATGCGATGCTCTGTAAATGCATATGGACGCGCATAATGTTTGCCTACGTAAGTAGCTGTCAGCGAGACGAACGTCCACGAGCCGGCGTCGTTACACCTCTTCTTAGCCGCGAGTGCGTATTCCCGCGTACTCGCGCGTACTCGCGCGTACTCGCGCGACCGACAGATGCATCGAGCCGAACCTTCTTCGATATCGATCTCAAGGAGGACCGATGCGGACAAAAAGTGAATCACAGATCGTCACGTTGTTCGCGAGTACATACTTCCTTTTCTACCCGGCTAAGGTATCGATGTTGCGTAGGTACCTACACGGTTCATGTACCAAGAGACGACACGCACTTTTCATCCAAACGAAACGTCCTGTGCTGTCGTTGTTAAGAACCGGCGCATTGTTCGATACCGTTACGATCGATGGATCGTTTTAAACTTTACTCGATCCGCCTTTGTATACGATACTTGTTTCTATGCGATCATTTTTCTCCCAAGTACTCCGTGGACGGAGACACGGAGTTTCTTGGAAAAACGCGAGACCAAAAACGGAGCAGGAAGGCAGAAAAAGCGAAAGAGTGGATCCGCAAAATCGGTATTGTTCTTCGCGCCGGAATCGCTTTCTTCGAGGATAACGATTATTATTCCGGCCGATAGTCGTGATTGGCGGTAGGTAGCGGTATGTATTATTACGCGTCGAGAGGCGACCGGGTAAAAAATTGATTACGTGCGGTTGGCGTTACGTGGACGCGACCGTGCGCTTTCGTGCATATGCGAGCTGAGCGCATGCATATGCATGCATGTACCCGCACTTCTGGTGCCGGAATGATAGATCAAACGGACCGATAGCTATCTCGAGCCAGGAAAGGGCCCGAAACGCGGTACACGTTGCCTGCCCCTCCCTCACAGACTCGCGAAACCTTTCTCCTGTTCTCCGAACGATATTTCAATGTAGCGTTTGATACGTTATCGATTACTCGCACCTTGGCCGCGTTACGTCATACGAATTTGCCAGACTTTTCAGACCGATTCTATTTTGGT